GCGCCCTCGGCTCCCGCTCCCCCGGCGGCCCCTCACCCGGGTGGAGCCGATGTCCATCATCACCTCCTCGAAGGCCGCCGTCTCTTCGGCCTGACGCTGCTTCTGCAGCGCGATCTTCTCGCTAAACTTGCGCGGATTGGAAGCTGCGGCCGTGGCCGAGCCGGGCCCGTTCGCGCCCGCCGTCGCCATCTTCCCCGTGCGTCCCTCCCCGCCACCCTCCCGGACAAGCCACGGTCCCGCCGCGGGCCTTGGCCCGCGCCTCCAGCCGCAGCCACCGCCGCCGCCTCGGCGAGCACCGCGAACCCGGCCCCAGCCTAGCCCGGACCTGCCGCGCGCGAGGGCCGCCGGGAACTGTAGTTTGTTTACGTGACCCCTGCGCGGCCCCAGGCGAGCAGCGCGGACAGGAAGCGGACTCCATTTCCCAGCAGCCCTGTGGCCCTGGGGCCTGGGAGCCTGGCTCCTCCCCCCGGCTCCTCCCTGCGCGGGGCAAGCTGGGAAAAGTAGTTCTAAGTTGGTCTGGAGCCTCCGACCGTGAAGGGGAGCAGGATGCAGGAGAGGGAAGGATTGGGGAGGAAGGGGAAGGGGTGGAGACAGGGCGGGAAGAAGGAAGGAACAAAAGAGGGAAAATTTGGGTCTTCAAGGAAGGGGACTACGGAGCCTGAATGAAAGCAGTGAGAGTAGGGATATTAAAACAGATATAAACGTCTGGGACTCAGGCCCTCTCACACTGGCTACGTGCCCACCCCTTGCCCAAGACAAATGAATCAGACACTGCACAAATGTATAGAAACATCTTTTATTTGGGTAACAAGTCCCAAAACAGGTCAGTTAGTAAAATAGATTCTAGAGAACATGGCTCTATCCACAGCCCTCCCTCCCCAAAAATAGCTGGGGGTGAGCTTTCCCCTTGGGCTCCTCTGGTATAAAAAAAAATTTGGCAGCTCAGTATTTCTCATCTGGGCATGGGGCACCATTTCCATGTTCAGTATTCCCAGGGTGCAGTAGTGGTGGGGGGCCGTATCTCTGCCAACCCTCCCCCAACCTCAACTCAGCAAACAGGGCTGCCTCCAAAAAAAGAGCAAGCAGGGCCCCTCCGCTGAGGTGTTGGGCAGGGTTCAGTGCCATCACTGTGCTTTTTGACAAAGAGGGAAGGGATTTATTTGGCACTTTAAAAATAGAGAAGTGAGCAGGACTAGAGAAGCCAAAGAAGGTACCAAACTGGCAGGAAGAGGCCATTTGGCACCAGTCCCCTGGGAGAAGGGAAGCGGGAGATAGAGTAGGCGCTAAGAAAAGAAGGAGTCCACTCCACGCCAAGTGACAGAGGGCTGAAGTGGGCTAGAACCAGCAGGACTGCTGCCTCTGGGCTGTGCCTTCTCACACCTCCATCCCGCAGCGGCGGGGTGCCCGCTCCCAGCCTTGCCATCGTCAGCTCGTCCCTGTATGTAGTGTGACCCTGGATTCTAACACTCAGTGTCTTCCCCATTGTGAATCACTGATTGCGTCTTTAGTGATAGGACTATCCCTTATCCCTCGGGGCCAGGCTCTTGTCTACCACATCCCTCCCATTGGTCAGATAATCCCAAAGACTCCATCCCTATCTCCCAGAGAACCCTTTGATCCTCAATCCTCCCTTCTCCACTCCTTATTTTCATATGCTGGGGTGGAAAAGGAAGGTCAAGAGCACCTGGAGCTCCCTAGACTTGGATGAAGAGCAGGCCAGTAAATAGGGCAAAGCCTGCAAGGAGCAGGATGACCTTGAGGATCCTCTGCTCAGAAGTGGCCAGCTCCTGGGGCAAGATTTCCAGGAAGGTAATATAGAGAAAGGTGCCAGCTGCCATGCCCTCCAGCACAGACTGGGCCAGCTGGTGCAGTGGCCCAGCCGACTCTGCCAGAGCTGCACCCAACCCAATGCCCAGAGGTGTCATGCATGAGAAGAGGATCCCACAGCCAGCTACCACCTGCGCTCGCAGATGGCT